AAAAGTATTATGAAAGAAAAAAGTTAACTTGGAATAAAAAATATAAATATTTTTAAATGTAGTTAATAGGGAATTTTGAAAAACAAAAATGTATTCAGTTAAATGTATTCAGTTAAAATTTCTAGTAAATAATCGTTTCCTTCTTAAAATCTGAAAAAATTAATTTTTGTTAAAATTATTGTAATAATTTTTTTTTTAATTTGTATTAGATGATACAAATTTATTTTTAATTTACTTTATTATTTTCCTCTTTTTTAGTATTTGAATTTGAACAATTTCTGAATAGTAAAAGTTATAGATCATATTTATATATGCGGTAACAAGTAGAAAATTTTAATCCTTCTGCATTCAAACTTCTTGCACACAGACTATACGCACGTGGTCTTCATGTAAAGAACAAGCGAATAGGGATTGAAAGAATGATTAAGTTCACGTGCGTGTTTACATGATTTGTAATGATGCTTAATCTTCTCTTTGATTTTGGTCTCAAGCAAACACAGGTGCGTCAAAAAGTACCCCGTCGTATCGTACTATCCCCATCAAATCGTCCCTGCCGTTGCTTCTATTCGGTGCTATACAAGTACGGATTCACGATTCAAATAGGGAGTGAGAAAAGGGAAAAAAGATGACTGAATAGTTGAAAAAAGTTTGAGAAAAAACTTGCAAACTCTGGTTTCAATAAAGTGTTTCAGTAATTTATTTTATTTAAAAGAATTAGTATCATAAAAATAGTTTTTAATGGTTTTTGCATTAATATTGCTTTAATCAATTCTTTTAATTTTTTAAAATCAATTTTACTTAACTTATATTAAAGTTTATTATTAGGTGTTGGAATTAATTCGTAGCGTTTTACAAGTGATGGGAAGTACTTTCATTAATGTATTTTTTAATGCTCATGTGAAATAAATAACATTCTTTCATTAAAAACGCTACGAATTAATTCCAACATCTAATAATATTTTTTCTAATTCTTTGTAATCTGATTTTTAATCTGAATTCAATCTTATTTAATTTTAATTATTTAATTATATCTTAAATAAAAAAATATCTTTAAGGATATCTTTCATTATATTTTCAATTATATCTTAATTTTAATTATATCTTAAATTCAACGTCATTTATATAATTTGAATGTTTCTTCTGTAATTTAATCTTTAAATTATAATTCAATTCTACTTAATTAACTTAATTTTTTATAACAAAACATCCCGGTAAAAAATTTTTCATATAGTATAAAATCATAAGTCACTACATAAAATTATGTAAAAATATATACATACATAATTATGTATAATTTATTATAATTATATAATTTATATAATACTGTTTAATCCAAATATAATCATATAAATATATATGAATAAGATATTCGTTCATATAATTTGTTTCATATAATGTATAAAGGCGT